TTCAGCAATAAAACCCAAAGGCAAAACTTGTGCACTGTAGAGTTCAAGCTGCATGGGAATGTACACTGCACTACAATCTGAGCACTCATTCCTCTGTTATATATGGTTCTTTTTAAAATATTTTATTTATTTTATGTGTATGAGTGTATTACCTGCATGTGTGTAAGTGCACCCATGTTGTGCAGTGGCCTCAGAAGTCAGAAGAGGGCATCAGATCCCCTGGAACTGGAGTTATGGACAGTTGTTAGTTGCCAGGTGGGTGCTGGGAATTGAACCTGGGTCCTCTGAAAGAGCAGCTGGTGCTCCTAACCACTGAGCCATCTCTCAAGCACCATTATATGTTTCTTATGAGTCTAAGTAAAGGTGTGGATATATAAATAAGCACCCAAACTGATATTTAAGATCAGGGAAGGTTGGGCAGTGTGTGTGGTTCTGGGAAGAATGAGGATAGAGTATGTGATTCCTGACCATCTGAACTCAAATGAAGGATATATGCAATGAGAGGAGAGATAAGTCAGACTTTGCTGGATTCATGAAGGAAGGGGTCCTGACTAGATATAACATCAATGTTTCTGAGCTGGGCGTGAAGATCATATCCACAGTAGGTATCACTGTGATGTGATTTATTAAGAGAGCTCAGGGGCTTGGCAGAAAGCAAACAAATAAGCAAATAAGCCCCGTAAGAACCAGTAGACCAGAGGACACCTATGGACTCCAAAAATCCTGTCTCCTTTACTGTGTACTCTAAACATATTTTTTATTAACATAGTAACAAGAAGAAAAAAAGTTTATAGAGATAGAGAAACTGTCATTGCTAACTTTTTCTGAAGCACTCTGTATGAGGTAATGCTCTAGAAGTATTTTCTAGATATTTCATTCAGTTGCTCAGCAACCCCATGTGATAGGTATTATCTCATCCACAATTATACAGATGAAGGAACTGAAGCATTAAGAGGTTAAACAATGAGCCTGATTTTATCCAATGAATGACAAAGCTTGAGTCTTCAAGTGACATAGGGTAACGTAGAAAACACTGCTGGCTTTGTACTGGGCCTGTTTTATCAATCCCTGAGATGAGCTCCTTCAATTAATGTGTAAGCTTTGTCTTTTAAAAGCTTAATATTTCATCAGTTTTTCTCAGTCTAATCTCCATTTTTATCCTGTCAATATCTGATAACAGCAGCTGTAATAGCACCAACAAAAATTCCCTCTCAACAATTTACTGATTGGGTTGAAATCAATCTGAATATTTTTTTCATAATTATAAATTAAATTTCCTTAATAGTCAGGATTTAGTAGAGGAATTTTAATTAAGTGCTTTGAGCCTTCACAGTCTGATTTTCATGAAGGCCTGGCATTTCAGTGAAGTTTGTCCCCAGGCTGAACTGATGAACGAACACCAACTAGCATTGCCAGTATATTAGCATGTAAGGGGAGGCCACAAACAGCACTCAGATTTCTAAGCGTATAGGCTGTGAAGCGAAACTTCCACTAAACCTACGTATGGCTGCACATCTGTTAGAAAGAAGTCTTTAAAAAATCTAGTTTTATTAGTGAACTTCTTTATAGCAGACATGTATCCACACATAGGTTTAGTAGAAGTTTTGCTTCACTCCTTTAATCCCAGCACTCAGGAGGCAGAGACAGGAGGATTTCTGTGAAGATAGAAGCCAGTCTGAGTTACATAGCGAGTTCCAGAACAGATGGGCTATAGGGAGACCGTCTCAAAAAGACCAAAAAAAAAAAAAGAAAAGAAAAAAAAACCCCGAAATTAATTCACTTATGCCTTATTGATTGAATTCATACATTTGTAAGTCAAATACTTATTCTATTAATTTTTACATAACTCATCTTTTTTATTAAAACATCTTTATTTAGTGTGTGTGTGTGTGTTTGTAGGCACACACATGCTACAAGTCCCTGTGTAGTGGTCAGAGGACAACTTATGGTTCCCTCCTTCTACCATGTGCATCCCTGGGCTTGAATTCTGGCTGTCAAGCTTGGCGGCAGGAACCTTTACCTGTTGAGTCATCTCTCTGATCACTCATTATCTTCTCTTAAAAGTAGCTTTTATTGTAGATAAAATATGGGCTGGGGTTGGAGAGATGGATCAGTGGTTAAGGAGGACTTATTACTCTTTCAGAGGACCTGGGTTCAGTTCCCAGCACACACATGGCAGCTAACACCATTCTTAACTCCAGTTCCAGGGGATCTGACACCATCTTCTGGCCTTCATGGACACTAGGCACACGTGTAGTGTATATACATAAATGCAGGCAAAACACTCATATACATAACATTAGGCCTGGCATGGTGGCACGATCAAAGCACTTGGGAGGCAGAGACAGGTGGATCTCAGTGAGTTCAAGGCCAGCCTGGTCTACATAGTGAGTTCCAGGACAGCTGGGGCTACAGGGAGACCCTGTCCCAAAAAGACCTAAATAAATAAATAAATAAATAAATTAATTAATTAATTAAAATAAAGCCTAAAATAATATGCATTCATCCACAAAATAAAAATTTTAAAGGCCATAAGTATTTACAATGAAAAGTTAGAATCACTCTTTCCCCTTAGAAGTATTATCATATGTAAGCAAGGGAATAAATTGCATGATGGAAAAGTCAGGGTAAGGATATTATTATAGATGTGGCAATTATTATATGAAGAAATATTGTTTTCTCTCTTCCAACAAGGTTGAGATTTTGGATCAGATTTTACTGTATGTGATTACATATAGCTAAATGAGAAAAGTTTTTGCAAATATAGTCAGATATTTTGCAAGCAAGAGGCTATTATAAGGCTTACTGGAGTAAAAGTGCATATACATACACACATATATATTTAAATAAGCAACACCAAAACTTATCATACAAGAAAAATTGTCCATCAAAAGACAAGAGTAGGCTTTGAGATCTACCCATTGAAAATGAAACAAAACAACAAAAAATGGAATCATAGTACCAGTCAAAAAACATTCTTCCTAGTCTCTCGGGTAAATGCAAATAACAGAATTTAAAAGTAAGGTTAGTTTTAGGACACATGCTAAAAGTAATTTTTGCCAAGATGTTCTTAGTTTGGATTTAACCAATTCAATTCAAATTTTAGTAATTTAAATAGGAATGAGATGATAACCTTCCCACCCCCATTTAAAACCCATCAGGTTAAATTCACAGCATAGTGTCCAGGACACAGTGGATTTTGGTGTGCAAGAAAAATGGTAATCATTTATAAACCCTATTACAACTTTTCCTTGCAGTTGTCCAGAGGAAGATATTAGCCTAATTGGACTTAAACATATCCTTCTAGTGAAAAGGACTACAGTTAAGTGGTAAGAATTTCAAGAATTTAGTAGTCTGTTATATATAAACTAACTTGCTCACCTCTTTTATCTTTCTATGTATTTTGTCAATAAATATTTATTGAGGAAGTGTTGAAAATGCATCAGAAAAGCAGATAGATCAAATTGTAGTTCTTTTAATGCTGAAATACTATACTGGAAGAGGATGAACAAACAGAAATATAATTTCAGATAGTAACAAAATGTACATGAGAAACTAAACTTGGATAAAAGATTAGGGAGTTATGTGTTAAGGATATATTCAGATACAAGAGCACAGAAAACGTGCAGAGCCCGGAACGGATCACTAGAGCTGATGAAATGTCCCATATAGAGCATTTGGCATCATTCCCATGAGTTTAAACGGCCCTCCTCTCTGAATCACCTCTGATAAATCACTGCTTGGTTTTCTACCTTAGTTTTTCTTTCTATATGTGCAATCATTGTCTTATCAAATGTTTTCATTAATAATGTTCCAAGATGATAATTCCAGTGATGTATAAAGTTTAAGATGTTTTGAATTCTGCATTTATGAGGCAAAAATTATTGGTGAACAGTCCTAAGTGATTAAGGGCATCATCTTAAAAACATCACTGAAAAGAAAAGAACTCTGGCATTCATAGTGAAAAGAATAAAACTAATTTACTTAAAACACTTTCCTTACCTACCAAAAGGTTAAGTTCTGATTCTGGAGAATGCACGTGTTTGTGTGCCTGGGATGGCAGAGGATTAAGAGCACAGAAATACGAAACTCGAAGACAGATTAGAATATCAGATCCAACATGGTTAGATGTCCAAGTCCAATAAGAATTGCATATATGTATTTATATATCACATGCTTGCTACTTTCCAGAGCTTCAATTGCTACACTGTAATTAAGAATCTGGGTACGCTAACTTGAGTCTATATGACTTAACATAAATGACAGAATGTATGAAATTGGGGGGGGTACTAGAGGGTGCAGCTGGGGAAGAGGGTATAAAGATGATTAAAATGATTTGTATGAAATACATAGAAATTCAATTTAAAAATTTTTAAAAATATTATGAGGGCTGGAGAGATGGCTCAGCAGGTAAGAGTACTGGCTGCTCTTGCAGAGGACCTGGGTTCAATCCTCAGCACCCACTTCGCAGCTAACAGTCATCTGTAACTTTAGTTCCCAGGAACCTTGATGCCCTCTTCTGACCTCTGCAGGCATTGTACAACATGGGTAGACTTACATACATGCAGGCAATACACCCATACACATAAAAAAAATAAAAATAATCAAAATAATGTAAAAGTTAAAGTTAAAAAAGTATTCTGAAACGTTAAAATTTTTTACAAGTATTACACCTTTGCACCAGCAAAATAAAGTGAATATTCAATTGATTGATCAAACATAGCAATATTTTAGTACATAACATAGCAATATTTTCATAAATTTTTTTGGTATTGTGTACTAACCTGGTTAAATGAAAACTTTGCATCCAGCTCTATTCTAGGTGTATATAACTTAGGTAATTCAACTCCATCCCTCACTTTCTTCATCTCTAAATTGAGGACAGTAAGACTTACCATTCAAAGCTGCTGTGGAGACCAGTTGCCTAGAAAAGTACTTGACAATTAAGCACCCCAAATTAACTTTAAACAACATTTTGGCCTAGACATAAGCATACTTACTTTTAGGAAAACTTGCAGGTCTTGAGTCTGAGTGTGCTGTAGAATGTCTTGTTGTAGATGTTTTAATATGGCTATGCAGATATACACTTGATAATCAGGACCAAGGAAAACACAAGTAGCAACATAATGGCATATTTCTATCCAATCTAAGTAATTCCAAAAACACTGAGTTATCCATTGTAGGCAAATCTTAAAAAAAAAAAAAAAAGAAGTTCATTAAGTAGGATTATAAAACCGCATTTAAAACTTGAATGAATAGGACTTAGCATATCTGGCATAGTGCATGGATTCAGTGGGGTGATGGGGGAGGCACCAATGGGGGAGGGGTTCTGGATTTGATTGGGAAATGTGTGAAATTTTAAAACTCAATTAAAAAAAATTAGGGATCAACCCACCAGAACTGGATGGTAGTACCTACTGCTGAAAACCCTACACATATAAGTTGTAGAACAAACAAAGTGAAATCAAGCTGGTGCTGACTTCAGAGCCTTAATTCCACTGGTTAGCATTACTAACCAGTGGAAATAATCATCAGTCCTACCCAGGTATGAATCCTGTGAACTACAATAACAACTGGGCTGGGAAAATCTGCCCACCAGTGTAATCAGTGGCACAATTATTATGGGAGTAACTAAGCACTCTTTAATTGGATTTAAGGTCTACTTCCTAGGATGGAGTCCATATCTGACATTGATATCAGGCTTAGTACTAACCTGTGGCTAACCAAGTCATAGGACATAGGGGAGAACCTAAGACTATCCTTACTTCTGCCTTCCAAGGCTAAGGGGTCATTGAAGAAGAGGGGGCAGCAAGATTGTAAGAGGTGGTGGATGCCCACAAGGAAACAGTTTCCCAGACAACTAGTAGGTTACTCATATGAATTCATAGCAATGGTGAGAGCACGCACAAGTACTATGCAAGCTCAAACCAGAAAAAATTCAAGCATAGACATGGGGAAGTGGATGAGAAGCTCCAACTCCACCTAAGGAAAATGTGGCCATCTATGGCTGTTGAGGGGCAAAGACAGGCTCTTCCAAGCATGAGACTCTTGGTGAGTTAATCAGGCTCCAGTGGATAAACCCATGCCGAAGTACATCTGGAGACACAAATTAGACTCTCTCTCTCATATATATATATATATATATATATACAGTACATTGGGGGGGCAACAAGAGAAGATGTGGATAGGGTATATGTAAATACCATCAAATTATATTGTATGAAAATCACCAAAATTCAATAGTAAAAAAAGTAGTAACCACAGCCAGGCATGGTGGAGCACACCTTTAATCCCAGCACTTAGGAGGCAGAGGCAGGTGGATCTCTGGTGAGTTCAAGGTCAGCCTGGTCTACATAGCAATTTCCAGGTCAGCTGGGGGCTACAGGGAAACCCTGTCTCAAAACAAACAAACAAACAAAAAAAACAACAAAAAAGTAGCAACCAATAACACATGAAACCAGTAAAATGTGCTTCATTTATCAAAATAGAAAAACATTCTGTACAGTAGCCTAATAATTATGCTTTCTGTGCTTCTTTCATATATAAAGACTCATGGGCTTGAGACTCAGGAGCAGAGGCCCACAGCACACACCAGCACTGCTCACACTGCTTACAATCTAGTTGTTGGGTGCCTTCTTCTGGCATATTGTCATCTTCTTACCCATAAAACCACTCTTAGAAAACAAATCTAAGTGACTATTTGAATTCAGAGATGTGAGTTTTTTCTATCTTACCTATAATCATAGACATATAATTATGCAGATGACAGACTGGAAAATATTACATTAATGCAAATGGACTCTTTCTGAATCAGAGAACAATTTACAGCAAACAGAATCACAGAACATATAAACTGGGGGCTAACACAGAAAATAATTTGAGAAAATGAGACTTCTACAAAAATGTTTCCTTTTTTATTTGGACTCTATGCAACTTACTTTCTGGGAAACATTTATTCAGGTTATAAAAATCAAACATGTCCATTGTGGAGAACACAGAAAAAAAAAACAGTAACAAAGATACAAAGATTAACAATGTTAGAATTTTGGTACATCAGTTATTGTTGTTCACTTATACCCCTGTCTCCTCTCAAAAAAGAAAAGATCAGCTAAGTTCCTAATCCTTAGTATCACAGAACATGACCTTGTGTGGAAATAAGGTCAGAAGGTCATCACAAATGTAGTTAAGGTAAAATGAGTTCTTTGGAGATCCTTGCAGACAGCTGGAGAGGGTGGCTGGGAGCTTAGCAGACCACCAGGGAGAGCCAGGTTCTGGCCTCCCTCTGGCCTCACTCTGGCAAAGGGTTGACAAGCACAGGGCTGCCTGAGAGAGCCTGGATCCAGCCTCCATGTGGTGAAGGAAGGCTGAGTGTACCTGACTGGAACCTGAATTGGGCTTCTATGGGTACCCCTGAATAGCTGATCTGAAGCCATCAGTTTCCTCCAAAATAAATGTGAGAGAAACTGAACCCTGTACCAACCAGCTTTACATAACCAATAAAGAAAGGATGTAGGCACCCGGATAATACAAACAGAAGCATACTTTAACTTAATTCTCATATCAGAATAATAAACAACAAAATAAATTCACATGCCAAAACCACAACAAAAGAATAATAAAATGGAAAGCCAAAATACTATGTCCCCACCAATCCGGTAGAAGAGTTCTACAAGGAGAACCACCTACAGATAACCCAGGACACAGAATTTAAAAGAACAGTCAAAAACATGATCAAGGAATTCAATGAATTTAAAGAACACATGAACAAATAAGTAAAGAGCTAAAAGGAGATAGGGATAAACTTCTGATGAATTCACAAAAGAGATAGAAACAGTGAAGAAAACTCAGGCAGAAATGAAGAAGGAAGTGAAAAACTCAATAAGTCAACTTGAAACAACAGGGGAAAGCCTCACATCTAGAATGAATGAAATGGAAAACAGGATATCAATACTGGAGGATAAAGTTGAAGGACTGGACCACTCAAGCAATGATTATGGAAAAATTTTAAAAACACAGGAATGGAATATGCAAGAGACGTGGGATACCATGAAAAGACCAGATCTACAGATCATAGGACTAGAGAGAGGAAGGAGAAGAATTTCAGGTTAATGGTGTTAACCAGATCTTAAACAGGATTGTAGAAGAGAATTTCTCAAAATTAAGGAGAGACATCCCCATACAAATACAGGAAGCACATTAGAACACCAAATAGACAGGATCAGAAAAGAAACTCCCCACAACATATAGTAAAAACACTAAATGTACAAAGAGGGAATACTGAAAGGAGCAAAAGAAAAACAACAAGTCACATACAAAGGAAAGCCCTTCAGAATTACAGCTGACTTATCAGTGCAAACCATGAAAGCCAGAAGAGCCTGGACCAAGGTATTTCCAGTTCTGCATGACAATAGATGCCAGCCCAGAATACTATACCCAGCAAAAATGTCTATTATAGTTGAAGGGGAAAGAAAAATCTTCCATGACATGAATAGCCTGAAAGAATACATGTCCAGAAAACCAGGCCTCCAAAGAATAGTTGAAGCAGTACAGAGAGCAGAGAGAGAAACAACTGTACCCTAGGGGCAACAAAAGAAAATAAACGTATAATCTAGGAAACACAAAATTACACACAGAACACAAACAGCAATCAAAATGACAGCAACCAATACCGACCTTTCAATAATAACCTTAAATATCAATGGACTCAACTCCCCAGTCAAAAGACACAGGCTAAGCGAATGGATTAAGGAACAAAATCCATCCCTTTGCGGTCTGCAAGAACCCATCTCACCTTCAAGGACAGGCACTACCTTAAGGTAAAAGGATAGAAAATATTCCAAAAAAATGGCAGTGAGAAACAAGCAGGGGTTGCAATTCTAATATCTGACAAAATAGACTTAAAAAAAAAACTAATCAGAAGATATAAGGAGGTTCACTTCATTCTGATCAAAGGAACAGAAAACCAAGAAGATATTGCAATCCTTAACAGATATACACCAAATTCTGGTGCAACCAAATTTATAAAAACAACACCACATGAGTTTAAGACACAGATTAAACCCAACTCAGTAATAGTAGGGGATTTCAATACCCCACTGTCTCCATTAGACAGGTCAACTGGACAAAGAATAAACAGAGAGACATCTGAATTAAATGACACCATACATCAAATGGACCTAACAGACATCTTTCGATTATTCCACCCAAACACCAAAGAATACACTTTCTACTAAGCACCTCGGGAACTTTTTCAATGATTGACCACATACTGGGCCACAAAATAAACCTCAACAAATACAAAAAATTCCATGCATTCTATTGGACCACAAAGCAATAAAGCTCAAAATCAACACTGGACGAAGCCCTACTCACTACACAAACTCGTGGTGATTGAACAACACATTCCTAAACAATGAGTGGGTCAAAAGAGAAATTAAAGAAATAAAAGAATTCCTGGAATTGAACCAAAAGGACAATACAACACAACACAACCTCTGGGACATAATAAAAGCAGTCCTAAGAGGGAAGTTTATAGCTCTAAGTGCCTACCTTAAAAAATTGGAAAGAGCCCAAATAAATGACCGAAAACTGCAACTCAAGGCACTGGAAAGGCAAGAACAAATGAAACCCAAATCCAGCAGAAGAGAAGAAACAAGAAAAATTAGAGCAGAAATTAATGAAATAGAAACAAAGAAAACAATATAAAGACTTTCTCTCTTTCTCTTTCTCTCTCTCTCTCTCCCCTTATTTTTTTTAGAAGTTGCTTTTTAAGTCTCTCAATTTAGTTTTTAGTGTGATGAATCTGCTTTTCAATGGCTAAGATGATGTGGTAGTTTTCTAGGTCTCCTGTAGCAAAGAACCAGAAACATGGTTGGTAAAAATTAAATTTCTCAATATTCTAGAGAAGTCTAATGTCAAGGTGTCAGCAGGCTAGTTTCTCTCAAGGCATCTCTCAGCTTGTGGATAGCTGTCTTCTATATCATACATGGTCATCCTCTGTAGTTCGCCTCTTCTTCAAATCTTCTCTTATGAGTCAAATGGGATAAGATCCATCCTAATGACATGGTTTTAAGCTTGTTACTTCTTTAGATACCCTGTGTTTGACAGAGCTACATTTGAGGCTGTTAGGGTTAGGACTTTAGTGTCTGATTGCAGGGGGAATACAATTCATACTATAACAGATGGGATG